TGCAGGGTGGGATATGGCAGTGAATTTACAGGTTACAAAGGCATAATACCTTATTTTTCATGAATGGCAACACATGGGAGGTATCATGGGTGAAACAGCATATTCTGTTATGTCGTAGTACTGTTCACGTCCATAGACGACGGTTACTATTTTCCATCAGGTGGGCCGTCAGTTTGTAAAATGTAGAATATGATTTAATAAAAGTTAGTTTTTTAAAATGTTTTTAATTTCACTGTTAACGGTTGAGTAAATTTATTTATTTAGGTACACCATACAATATATATAAAATGTAACATATCAACTTGTATAAATCTTATACATGTCTGTATATATAAGTAATGGGAAATTAATGAACTCACTGTGTTTTCCCGTTTTTTCGCAGAAGTCTTCTTCATTAAGCGTTTGGCGCTTTGCGTGCAACGTTTCCGACAAAAACATAGTGGTACATATATATATATATATATATACACAAAATATTTGCTTTTCGCTAGCTATTTATTGGCCTGAAACTGCCGTTTGTGAAGATAAAATAAAATATTATGCAAAAACTTTTCCAACATTAAAATTTTCCAGTTTTCAGTGAAACTTTTCACCAACATTTGACGAAAATTTGAGAGATAAGGACATTATTAAGTAAGTTTCTGGAATGCCTAATTTCGTTTGAACATTGCTAGCCTTGATTATGTCCGGTTTACACTCTGATTAGTTGAATTAAATATATTTTTTATTTATTACTTATTTTTTATATATTCCGCGGATTCGCCCGCATGAATCAGTACATATAGTATCCTATATGCTAAGTACATAATTTACGCAAGGACCAAATTTTCATTCAAATCCGTTCAGTAGTTTTGGTCTGAAAGAGTAACAAACATCCATTGGGGGTAAGGGATTGTTAGTGATGGGGAGGTCAGTCCCCATTGCTATTAACATACCCTGTCAGGTCGACCTCCACGCGGTTTCCCCCTGGAAACTATCGTGACTAATTTATCTTTAAATTCGTCACGATGGGCTAACTGACCTGCCTTTTCATCCTCACCTACCATCTCTGACTGGTACCTCGCTAGTGAATACCGATAGCGAAGGCGGGGTTGTCATGCCATTTTCACCCATTAAAAAGAAAAACAAATATCCATCGATCGTTACAAACTTTCGCATTTATTATATTAATAGGATTATAAATGTTAATTAAATGTCAAGTATTAAGTGGGCTAAAGGATTTATTTCGTAAATTATTTTTGATGTTTGCATAACTCCTAATATTTGGTGTTATAGATGTAATTGTAAAAGTTATGTGCATCTATTAATTATTATTATACCTACTGGTGGTCGGGAGGAAGACGATTGTGAGTAATGGGGACTACCAACCCCACTTATATGAACTATTCTAGTGAATTCGTAACGAACAATTAAATTATGTCGGGGGAAAAGGGTTAGTAATGAGGTCTAATAGCCCCATTGCTAGCAATATACTCTCTCAGGTCGACCTCCACGCGGTTCTCCTGGAAACCATCATGGTTAATTCTTGTCGAATTCAAAATGGTGGGCCAACTGACCTGCATTAATTCTCACCTATCATCATCCACTGGTGCCTCGTCGGTGTATACTGATAGCGCGGGCAGGGTTACCATTCCATTTTCACCCATTGAATAAAAACAAATTATGTCATTTCTTCCTTATCTATTTTCACTTACAGCTACCATCTCCCAGCTACCAGAGTCTACCAATTTTATCAATAGCACAGGCGGGGTTACAATTTTGTTTTTCATTCCATAAAAAAAGTTATTGATTAATTTATAAACGTTCAATGTAACGAAGTTTTTGGGTCTTACTGAAAATGCAATCATCTAGCGATTTAGTCCGTAAAATTTATTACCTAAATCTATCCTAGGTAATATAAAATGTACTAACATACCTAAATTATATTTACATTAGGTAACATAGGTGATATTAGAGTTTTATTTTCATAATGCTTATTTTTTACGTTACGTTAGAAAAGGCGTGGAAAAATTTGGTTAAATTAGATTGTCTGAGATATATCTGACAATATTATTGGGACATCTTTATAAGCCATTGGATGCTTTATTGGTATTTTCATTTAGCATACATTTTCATATTATATTATTTATTTATTTAAACTTCGATGCAAATTTATATATTATAAGTAAGTATACATATGGCGGATTTAACACCTAATGGCATTCTCTACCAGTCAACAATGAGGCAAGCAGAGAATTAAGTAGGGCGGTGCATTTATTACTAAAATATGTATAAATATTGTTACTACATATTACATACATATGTACATCTATAAATAAATATGTATATATACGTATATACATATTACTTGCATACTTTTCGTGAACAGTAAGTATATATTTTTATGTATTTTTGTAGGCGTTTATATGCATGTATGTATATGTGTATATGTATGTATGTGTGTATATAATAATGAGTAGGGATAATATTTATATTATTATATATATCACATCTCCCATATTTAGAACTAACAAAATTTTTCATCGTGCCTCCCACCAAATTGTTTATAATTACTCCTCTTCATCCAAAGGTTGCCTGGAAGAGATCGCTCTTAGCGATAAGCTCGCCCATTGTTTTCTCATTGTGATTATCTCTTGTAATTGTTTATATTTATAATAAGTTTACTATTGTAATCTTTTGGAGGGAACAATAAAGAGTACCTATCTATCTATCTACCCTATAGATTATAAAAGAAATCACCTTCATAGATTTTTATTACGCAACTTAAAACGACAAACAAGCTGACCGAAAGTGACTACTATTCGCATGTAAACCGGTTCGTATTTTTTTCATAAAACATAAGGCGAACCATAAAATGGGAGATTAAAAACAGCAGCCCGTTTCCAAGGCGGTACGATTAAAACTTTCTTTTACAGCAACATGTAATATTTTTAGGCTTGGCCCCTACCATCCCCTACATAAAACAGGTCAAACGACTGTTCTGTAGTCACTGGCTAGTTTATAATGAAGTTTTTTTTTCTCCCCAAAAATGCATATTTACTTTTAAGCTTTCGCATAAAGCAAGTGTTTTATTTATCATTAAATAATTTGTGTTTAGACTGAATGTAATACACATAGTAGGTACGTATGTTATTAGTTTTTAAAACAGAATAAAAGTAAATGTGTTTGGGTACCTCTGTCCCATTCGATTAATTACGACTGAATAGATAAAACTAATTTTATTATTATTATTTTACTGTCCACTGCTGAACACTAGCCATCACCATAAGGGGAGTTTTGCCAGTAGTTGCCACGTTAGGCAGGCGGGGTTTTTTTTTTTAATGGATGATAATGGAATGGTAACTCCACCTGCGCTATTGGTTTACACCGGCGGGGCACCAGTGAAGGATGATAGGTGAGGATGAAGCAGGTCAGTTAGCCCATCGTGACGAATTCAACAAGAATTGTTCATGATGGTTTACAGGGGGAACCACGTGGAGGTCGACCTAATAGGGCATATTGCTAGCAATGGGGCTGTCAAACTCCATTGCTAACAATTCCTTCCCCTCAGGCAGGCGGGTTGGCAATCGTTATTAGGGTTTTAGAGATAAAACTAATTGGTATATATTAGTATTATTTGGTAGTAAGTACCGAGCGAACTTGTCTACAAATCACGTTTGTATCGAAGGAAAGCAAATTGAAATAAATTTTTCTAGATGGTTGTTACCTTCTACATAGTAATTGGTATCTACTTATTAATAGCTACTTAAAGAGACTTATGTAGGTAAGTATATTATCATATAGCCTATTATAATTTATTTATTTTTTATTCATTTTAGCTGTTAATTTATTAGAATAATACAATTTTTATAAATTTAAAATAAAAATACAATTTTTATTTTAAAAAGAAATAAAGTAACATTAATCGAATGAATTGGCAATGTCATAGATAGAATTAAAAAAAAAGTAATTATAATTTAATTTTTGTTTTATTAACTATAAACTAATCCCTACAAAAGGACTGGCGGGATGAAGGAAAGTTTGTAAAGTGATGTAATAAAAGTATGCTGACAGGAAGGAGACGAGCGTCGCTTTTCCGAGATGTTGTTTTCGGTAATATTACGTTGGGTTTGTAACGCTGTAGGGAGCTAATCGTGTAAACAACTTATTTATGATCCGATGAGTGAATGAACGAATGAAACGAGTAATTAATTTTGTTTTTAAGACCGTTTATAACTTTGCTTACCGAAGTGTGCCAACATCGCAATTATCTGCCAATTGTGAAAAACAATTTAACATTTTTCAATGTTTTTGGCTGATTATTTAAAAAAAGTACTCAGCTAGAGAACTAAAACGTTAATACTAGAATTCATTTCAATTCAAATCTTTATTCATATATTTTTTTTTAATTTACTGCAGGATTCGAAAAGTTGTTATCTGCTAAGAATAGCTCGCACTGTATATATATATATATATATATATATATATATATATATATATATATATATATATATATAATAATATAATATAACAGATTACGATTACGCCTTTTGATAATATCTAAATCGATTTAGATTTGGCAACGATATCGCGTAACATACACAGAAAAATACAGACAAACAGAGAACTTCCTCGTTTTGGAAAGAGCATTTTTGTTTCATCTTTCTATTATCCGATTTGTGATATCGGCCTCTAAGAAGCGGCGCCTTAAAGCCAAAGCGAAGGCAGCGGCACAACGTGCATTGGCAGCAGATGCTGCGAGGCAGATCGCGGGACCGGGTTCTCGCCCAGTGGAAACCAAACCAGTAGGAGAGGTAACATTGGGCGGGCCCTCGGCACCTGCGTCTGTCGGTGCGAGTGCTACGCCTTCCACAGGCATACGCAAGCGCAGCATGAAATCAAGGGTCGAAAGAAATCAGGTAATAATCAACAAAAACCAGAGCCGAGGGCGCAGAAGCGTGCACGTCCAGAGGATTCTGTAACACCGACTGGGGTTGGTAAAAACCCAAAACCAACAAACCCCGAACGGTGAGAGGAACCGCTGCGTCGTACGCTGAAGCGGCCGCAACCTTCATCGCTAACGAGCTCTGCGTTGCTGTTATGATGGAACCCTTCTCTGACATGACGCAAGAGCAAGCTGAAGGTATTCGGCAAGAAATAGAAGGCAAGCTTCGGGATGAGCTCATGGCGGAACCGGATGCTTCCCTTGAAACTGAACCAAACGATATAAGGTTCCGAGGCCGAGCACATTATGCGGATGGCGTCCTCAAAACCTGGTGCGAGGATGCTTTCACGCTAGCCTGGCTTAATCGGACCGTTCAAAACATGGCCTCACCGGTAGCTAATTCAAAATTGGTTGTCAGGCCACAATCAGCTATCCCAAAGAAAGTACCGTGTCTGCTATTCGTACCGGGTCATACTGGCGATTCAGCTGCACTACGGAAGCTTTTGGCGCGGCAGAACCGCAACTTGAACATTAACTCCTGGACACTGACACACGAGAGGGCCAGATCGGATCCCCCAGGAACCTGTCTGTTCTTCCGGGTGCCGGAAACGGATGCTAATCTGTTAAAGGCCCAGGACAGAAGATTATATTACCTCATGGAGAACATTTATATTCGGTTTCTGGATAAAGATGCTTCCCCACAACCCAATACAAACCCCACGCAACAACCGGAGGAGGCGCGAACCTTGACGCAGAGCGCGGCACCTAAGCCGACATTGTCGACGAGGGAAGCTGCGACCGTGCCTGGGCACGCGGAACCCCCGATTGCGATGGAAGTGCAAAATCTGCCTTCTCCGAGATCTATCTCGGATGAAGAGTGCTTTCCGGAAGGGGGGGGAGAGAGTGAAACCAGCGATGGTGTCCTCTACTCCTCCCCTCTCCGGGAAGACTAAAATCATACAGATCAACCTCCAGCACAGTCAAACTGCAACGGCTTCCTTACGCAGAGTGCTGGAAAACAACACACAGACCATATCACTGATCCAAGAGCCGTGGATCAGGAAAAACAGGATATGTGGTCTTGGAAACAGCGGAGGAAAACTTCTTCTAGACACAGTAAACCGAGAACAAACTTCTTGTACCAACATTACTAATCAACGAATTCTGTTCAAGGAACCTGACAGCAGTCAGATTAACTAGGACAGAACAGCATCTCCCGGATATTGTCCTTGCCTCCGCATACCTGCCGAGCGACGAGGACATACCAACTCCGGAGCTCAACCTATTGGTCGAGTTTTGTGAGAGGGAGAAGCTGGATCTGGTCATCGCTGCCGACTCCAACGCGCATCATACCCTTTGGGGTAACGGCAAGTGCAATAACAGAGGTGAGGAAATGCTGCATTTTATTTTTAGTAATAACCTTACTCTAATTAACAAAGGTTCTGAACCTACCTTTATAAACGCTCGATCACAAACTATTATAGATTTAACTCTAACGACTGTTGGTATTTCGGAATCTGTTTGTGACTGGCATGTATCCAATGAAATATCATGCTCAGATCATAGATGGATTCGATTCTCCATTAATATGGAGTTGCCCAAACCACAGCCTAGACGTATACCTCGAAGGACTGACCAACATAAATTTCTTACACTGGTCAGGGAAAAATTTGACAATCAACTGCCACTACTAAACGATTTAGCGGTAACAGATCTGGACGATAGTGCAAACTACATCACGTCCATTTTAACCTCAAGCTATGAACAGTCCTGTGCCCTAACCACACCACAGTATGGGGGGAGGCAACACTGGTGGTGTCCAAAATTGGAAAGACACCGTCGTAAGTTAAGGAAATTGTTTAACATAGCCATGAACAAACGGTCACAAGAAGACTGGAATAAATACACAACATCCAAAAAACAATATAAGAAACTCATACGCCAGAGAAAGCAAGAATGCTGGAGGCGTTTTTGTACAAATATAGAAAACAATAACCAGGCGATTAAAGTAAAAGCATGTCTCTCTAATGAGAAAGATCATACAATAGGTTGCCTCAAGAAACCTGATAATAATTATACAAAGAACGACACAGAAACAACCGAACTGCTACTAACCACACATTTTCCAGGATTCCAGACTACTGCGGAGTGGTCATGGGAACCATACAAGGAAAGGGAAACCAGTAGCTCGGACTGGGAAGTAGCAAACAGAGTTATAGATAAAGAAAAACTACTATGGGCAATCAGTACCTTTCTACCATTTAAAGCGGCAGGCCTGGATGGAATATTTCCAGCCCTTCTGAAATGGAGCGGGAGCGTCATAGCTGACTACTTAGTACAGCTGTTCCGAGCGTGCATAGCTCACCGTTACATACCTTTGAAATGGCGTGAGGTAAAAATTATATTTATTCCTAAACCAGGTAGAGGAGATTACACTGTGGCCAAATCCTTTCGACCCATCAGTCTCACCTCGTTCTTTTTAAAAACTTTGGAGAGACTATGTGACAAAGAGATTAGATGTCAAGTCTCCCTGTGCAAACCTTTACATCCTAACCAACATGCTTACAGTGAAGGCAAGTCAACTGAATCAGCACTTCATAACGTAGTATCCCGAATAGGCAATGCATTGCAATCGAAGCAGCCAACCTTAGGTGCATTTATAGACATCGAAGGGGCATTCGACAAAACAAACTTTGCCAGTATAAGTCGGGCACTAGCTACACATGGAGTAGAAATAACACTTAGAGAATGGATACATAACATGCTTAAACAACGAGCTATACAATTTACTGTAAATACTACCACACGAGGAATCGTCGGTAGGGGCTGTCCACAAGGCGGTGTACTGTCACCACTATTGTGGAATATAGTCGTAAATGAGCTCATAATAGAGCTTAACGATAACAGCCTCTACACGGTAGGTTATGCGGATGATATAGCTGTACTTTTAACAGGAAGCTTCGAAGGTACTCTGTGTGATCGCATGAGAGTAGCTTTTGAAATAATTGAGAGATGGTGCGCACAGCATGAACTCTCGGTTAATCCTACAAAAACAGAATTAATCATGTTCACAAATAGAAGAGTTACATGTCCTTACAGACTACCAAAACTCTTCAATACGGAACTGAAACTTAAGGAAGAAGTCATGTACCTTGGCATAATACTAGACAGTAAATTGCTTTGGAATAAACATCTTGACTACAAACTTAACAAAAGCACAATTGCATTCTACCAGTGCAAAAAGATGCTAGGAAACAAATGGGGTCTTTCGCCAAAAATAACTCTATGGCTGTACAGAGCTGTAATCAGGCCAATGTTGGTCTATGGTGCACTGGTTTGGTGGCCGAGGACAAAACTATCGACCACCGCCGCCAAACTAAAAGCTTTCAGAGACTGTTTTGCTCTTCTGTCAGCGGCTGCATGAAAACAGCTCCTACAACAGCAATAGAGTTGGCCCTCAACATAACACCCCTAGACCTGCACATACAGCAGGAAGCGGCGTTAGCCGCTATCCGACTAATGCATCTGGATCTATGGGGTAAAAATCACTACAGTCCCCACACTTCTATTCTGAACCAGGCAATCGAATATGAACCTTTGATTGCGGCTCCGTGCGACAGGACTCATAATCATTATATATTTAACAAAAAATACCAAATACAAATTCAAGAAGAGGAAAAGGACCAATCCGGTGTACATGAATTACGCATATACACCGATGGCTCCAAAACCGAGAACGGTTCAGGAGCCGGAGTCTTTTCCTTAGACCTGAATATAAACGTGCACATACCGCTTGGCGTACACAGCTCAATATTCCAATGCGAATGTGTTGCAATAACCGAGGCTGCTGCAGCTGTACATAAGCTAGGAATAAATGGTTTTAGCATTAGATTCTTATCTGACAGCGCAGCAGTACTAAAAGCATTACGAAACAACAAGACAAACAACAAATTGATAATTGAATGCCACCATTCACTGGATAGGATATCTTCCAATAACCGAGTTATCCTCCAATGGATAAGAGGGCACAGTGGATCTTATGGTAACGATGCCGCAGACGAACTGGCTAGAAGAGGCTCAGGAACGAGGGTGGTAGGCCCGTATCCACTTCTTCCTCTTCCGTTCTCGCAATTTCGAATGTGGATTCGTCAAAGATCCGCTGACATACAAAACCAAAGATGGATACAGGCTACTGATTGCAGACAATCAAAATTGGCCGTACCTACGTTGAATCAACGACTATCAAAACGTTTATTACATCTAGATAGAAAAAACCTCAAAATAATGATAGGGACAATAACGGGTCATTGTCCATTAAACAAACATTTATACACAATAGGAGCCACAGACAGCCCTCTATGTCGAGGCTGTTTCGACGCTGAAGAAACGGCTGCTCACGTAATCCTGGAATGTGAGGCTGTGGCCCATCAACGTTTAGAAATCCTCGGAACGGTGAGGTCGCTCCGTGAAGCCTGTGAAGAACCCAGGAAGCTTCTGCGCTTCTGGGCGGAGCTAGGTTGGCTGTACTAGCCACGACTCACACGCACAACGGCCCAAATGGGAGGCTAAGTGCGGAAAACAGAGTCTTTCTTACATTACATTACATTAGTATAGTATTTCCTTATGTATGAAATTTAATTCAGCAACAAAGTTAAATTATTAATATATGATTAGGTTTATATATCTCTATTAATATATAATTAGGTATTTCATATCTTTATTGCATTGACATAAAATATTAAAATAGTGTATTAGTACAGAAACGTAATGCTTAGCTAAATTCTTTTAATACATTTTTAATATTATACTACATCTATAATTATTACAATATTACTTCATCAATACAAGCAGAGATTATCATACCACTTTCCATTAGGTGGGCCGCAGTTTGTTTGCCATCCTAAGTAGCATTAAATAAAATAGAGTAATCGAAGTTTAGATTATAAAGTAAATACGTAAGTACGATATGATAAATCTATGAATCGAAGCATTGTACTATTTAACTATTTTATTTATTTATTTTATAATTTTTCATTGAATTAAAAATTCTTCAAATATATAGCAACTTTTTAGATCAGATTCTTTTTATTTCGCAAATATTATACATATTTGTTTGCTTATATATATATATATATATCTGTGTATATATATATATATATATATATATATGTGTATATATATATATATATATATATATATGTATATATATATATATATATATATATATATATATATATATATATATATGATACTTGCGATTACAGAGTATAGTGGTAATAATTTTTCGATTCGACACAAATAGCATACTACTTGAACCTTAATACCTACTATAAGAGCAAATGAGTGGTTACGTACAATATTTACATACATACTTATAATTCAGTAGGTAGTAAAGTACTACCTAATCACTTATATATGCTTGTAGAGTGTGGTTTACTCAAGATTGTCGTGATGAAATATAAATTTCCCTCTATTTTATTTGAATATATGATAATGTAAACGAAACAAATAAAATAATATATTCATAATTTATTACATAGTCACTATAGGAACTATACGGAATACCTACAGTTCTAGATCAATTATTTTTCACATAATTCTTTTAAAGCTTATCATTGCTATATATAATACTAGTTTTTGCTCGCGGCTTCGCCCGCGTGGATATTGGTTATCGCAATATGCAATTTTTGGAAATAGTAATACAAATATATGTTCTCATTTACACTACAAACAACACTAATTTATTTCTATTATTTTATACAAATTCAAGATATATATTTATACAGTACCTACTCATTACAAATACTAACACATTCATACACATATGTTCATTTACACACACACATACACGCTTGTTTACACAGATATATGCACACACATAAAAATACTCTCAAGTGTATTGTCCTGACATTTTATAAATTTCATTATGGATAGTACACTAAAAGTAATAAACGAAATAGACAATTCTGATACAATACAAGTAGTTGAATGTACTTCAGAGAATTTTTTAAAACAAATGCGAGTTAAAAATACTGATTTTATGATAATATCACAGAATATTAGAAGCATTTACTCAAATTTCGATGACT